TTCCCCCATTGACCCCTCCCCTTATTTTTTTTAAACACATTTTATTGATTTTTAGAGAGGGAGAGAGAGAGAGAGAGAAACATCAATGATAAGAGAGAATCACTGATTGGCTGCCTCCTGCACGGCCCACACTGGGGATCAAGCCCACAACCCAGCCATGTGTCCTGACCGGGAATTGAATTGTGACCACCTGGTTCATAGGTCAACGCTCAACCACCGGCCAGAATGTGGTTTTAAGTAAAAAATAAAAATTTACTTCATTGGTATTCTGAATACCAAGTGCTAATAAAATCAATACTAAAATAATGAAAGTTTTGAATTTTTTCTTCACCGTTACACTGTGTGACACCAGTTTTAAATGCAGAGCATTGAGCTCACACGAGGCCTCACCAAGATCACAGATGTGAGTGTCCTGGTTTGAACAGCAGATGCTTCTGTTCTCACCAGAGCAGTGAAAAGGCCTGGAGACGGACAAGAAGGCGGTTGTAAGGTTGTAATTGTGGTAAAATACAAGCAACAGACTGACAGTGTAACCATTTCTAAGGGGGCAGTGCATTCGCACAAAAGTTCAAACTGCTGCCCTAACCGGTGTGGCTCAGTGGATAGAGCGTCGGCCTGCAGACTGAAAGGTCCCAGGTTCGATTCCGGTCAAGGGCACATACCTTCGTTGCGGGCGCATCCCCAGTAGGAGGTGTTCGGGAGGGGACAGCCTGCAGGCTCTCCGCTCAGAACGAGAGGGTCCCTGTGCGAGCAGGGAGAGGAGGCATGAGCTAGAACGGAGCTTTGTAGGGACCACACGGACGGAAGCATAGAGAGGCCATGGACGGAACACACAGGGGAGAACGTGAGAGAAATGCGCGGCACCGTGCAGAAGTGGAACATGTGCGGCGACGGTCCTAGGAGGGAAGGAGAGGATGGAGCGGAAGTGAGACTTGAAGAAATCATGGCTGAGCCCTAACCAGTTTGGTTCAGCATGTACCTTGGTTGCGGGCACATCCCCAGTGGGAGGTGTGCAGGAGGCAGCTGATCGATGTTTCTCTCTCATCGATGTTTCTAGCTCTCTATCCCTCTCCTCTCCTCTCTGTGGAAAATCAATAAAATATATTTTTTTTAAAAAGAAAGAAAGAAAGGCCAATGTAATAAACAGGCTCGGCCCTCCTTCCCCATCTCTTCCAGTGCCGGTGTGGGCAGGACTGGAACCTTCATTGCGTTGGACCGAATCCTCCAGCAGTTAGACTCCAAAGACTCTGTGGACATCTATGGAGCAGTGCATGACCTACGGCTTCACAGGGTTCACATGGTGCAGACGGAGGTAAGAGTCACAGGCGGAAGAACACAGACCGCTCTCCATGCCTCCCTCCCAAAGCCCCCAAATGCCCGAGGCCCTAATCTGAGAAGGGGAAATAACTGACTCACTGGGAAGAGAAAGAGCACGGAGGACACAATTTGTCTAGGACTTGTCATTTTAAATCTCAGGGACCTTCAGGATGGTGTGTACCCTTCTCTTCATTGAGCTGGTTGCCCATCTTCTGCCGGTGGGTGGGTAGGAAGACAGATAATTGTGATCAATGCATTATACCTGGGAGAAAGGCCAGGCCATCTTGAAGATCATTTTCAGATTGGCTGGTGGGTGAGCACAAGAACTTCAGTTAGTAAAGAGGAAACAGATTCTAATCTCTTCTCTCCTCCAGCCCCCCACCCCAGCTGTACCCCCCAACTCTGGAAACACCAAAGAAGTGTACATTGATTAGGAAGGATAAGTGCATCGGTTTGTGGTCCTTTGGCACTTGCAGGGCATTTTTGAGCATGTTAACTCATTAGATTTTCACCATCACCTGATAAGAGAGTTATTATTTTCCATTTCCAGGCTAGAAAACTGAGGTTCAGAGGCTTCGGGCTATAAACAGCTGTGAAATGGCCAGACTGGCACTTGAACCTGCTCTAGAGAATCCGGGGCCCTAAGCAGCAAGTCCACTGCCCACAGCCTCTGTGCCAGGCCATGTCCCCACACAGACCAAGCATGTCATTTCCCAGTTAATTGCCTTCCAAAGCCCAAGTTCTCTTACCCTTCTGTTTCCTAGGTAACTCTGCAAAATCCTCTATTTAACTTTTTCTGAAAACTCTTTTATTTTTCAATTACATTCCATATTATGTAAGTTTCAATTGTATAGCAGATGATTAGACATTTATATAACTTTTGAAATGACCTCCCTGTAAGTCTAATACCCATCTGACATCACACATAGTTATTACTAACTAGAAGCCCAGGGCACAAAATTTGTGCACAGGGGCAGGGGGAGGGGGTTGTCTCTCAGCCTGGCCTGCACCTTCTCCAATCCGGGATCACTCTCGAAATCCGGAACCACTGGCTCCTAACTTTTCTTGATCCGGGAGGAAGGGAGGGGCCAGCCAGGAGCGCATCCCCGCCGTGGCCTCCTGCGTCCTCACGGGGGCCGAGGACTCGAACCCGGGACCTCCCGTTCGCAGGACTGTTCTCCCAGCGCAGCCCCGACATCTTTGGAGCTTTTGTCACCGCAGGGAGCGCGACCCGACCCGTCACTGTCCCCTGGTCTCCACCACGCGGCGCCCGCCCTTCCAGAACCTTCTCCCCCCAAAGCACCCGCCCTTCTGGCACCTTCCGCCGCCAAAGCGCCCGCCCTTCCAGAACCTTCTGCCTCCAAAGCGCCCGCCCTTCTGGAACCTTCTCCCCCCAAAGCGCCCGCCCTTCTGGAACCTTCTCCCCCCAAAGCGCCCGCTCTTCTGGAACCTTCCGCCCTTGGGAGTGGGAGCCTGGCCTCGGCAGCTGAGCGCGGGGCCTTCTGGGAGCGCATCCTGGGGGCGGGGCCTCGGGCCCAG